GATATGATTCAGTTGAGAGAGAGTGATTTTGAAAGTAAGAAAAAATTATCAGATTCCCGGCAACAGAACCAATTTATTTAACCAAAGAATTAGATTCTCAGTCAAAGCCTATTTTTAGAAGTACTCGGGTTACTAATAATCAAGAAATTCAATATTCTCTCAAATGTAAGAAAGGAAATCAGAATCAGAAATGGCAAAGTAATCAATAGAAAGCATAAGAAAATAATTATATTCCAATGTTCATCAGAACGTGTCCTTACAAGTGAAATTCCCTTCCCTTATGTAGGAATTTACAAATATAACGTTTCTTTCCTTTTATGACAGAATCATTATGAGCATTAATGATATTAATGAAGCGTTATAATTGGCAACCGTAACTGTTCACGAAGATTCTGTAACTGTTTCGATTCTTCTTCCACATTAATTTGAGGTTCATGAATTTTCCCTCTTTAGTGTCTTGATTCATCTTGCCTGTGTCTCTTCACTGAATAATTTAGGCTCGGGCAACCGTACCTTTTCGTCTCGTGAGTGATTTGCTCGTACCTGTTGTAAATCGTGACTCTTTTAATGCGATACTCCAATTGTCATCTTCTTAGTAATCCACGTATCTTGCTTTGTCATCCTCATATAATTTCACGTGTAATATTATTTTTTTACCAATACAGTAAATAAATCCCGATTAGGACACATATGATAAGAACAACCCGAATCTAAAATCCACTCATTGTTAGATTTGAAACTATTATTAGTTGCTAAAAAAACGGTTCCCTCAGTCTCATCAGCAGCTATACTTGCTTCGACAATGTCAGTATTTTTGTGCTCATTTTTCTTTTATGTATGCTTTTCTTTGTTTTTTAATTTAAAGTATTCAGAAATAATGTGACCTTTCTTATGACAATATTTGCACATGACATTTCTGTATCTGGATTTTGACCTTGATTTAGGTTTCTCACTACTTGAATCTTTCTTATTGGATCTACCTCTTATGGATAAGCCTTCCCCTTGGTTCCCACTAGTTTTTCCAGTAATATCTCTATCTATCTGTTCTTTTGATTTCAAAATAGATTTGATATCTTTATAAGAGATATTATACTTTTCATAAAGCATAGTATCTCTTATATGTTTAAACGACTGGGGTAAGGAAACAAGCAATAACACAGCTTGATCCTCATCTTTGATTTCAGCATCTATGCTACTTAAATCCATATGAAGAGAATCAAAGGTATCAAGATGTGTAAGTATAGAGGTACCTTCAGCCATACGAAAAGTGTAGAATTTTTGCTTTAGGTAAAGCATGTTTTCTACTGCTCTTTTTATATATAGGGTTTTAAGCTTTTCCCATATGCCTTTGGCTGAGCTTTCTGCTGCAACTTCATGCAAAACCTCATTTGAAAGATTTAAAATAATATCTGTTTTTTTTTTATCTATGACAGCAAACTCCTCGTCCGTCATTTTATCCGGCATCTTCTCCTTTCCTTGCAGTGCCAAATCTAAGCCATCCTGAATTAGGATAGCCTCCATCTTTAATTGCCACATTTCGAAGTTTGTACTTCGGTCAAATTTCTCAACATAAGATTTTGTTAGAGTCATTTTGGCTATTTAAACTAACCCGGTTAGATTTGGCTCTGATACCAATTTGTTAGGATCGGTAAATCGGGTAGTGCGAAATTTAACCAAACAATGTTATAATGACAATAACAAAGACAATGCAAGTTGATAATAACGACAATTAAAGAAGATAAAGAAGACACAAATTTAACGTGGTTCGGTCAAGGTGACCTACGTCCACAAGCGGAGAGGAGCAATTTCACTATACCAATAAGAGTACAAAAAAAGTAAAAAATTAGAGTAAATACTCTAATTAGTCCCAAATACCCCAAGAGAATAACCTCACAAGATCACTCCAAATAAAGGGTTCACACAAGTGTTTCCCAACACTCATTGTCTTACAAAATGCTCTATAATAAAATAAATGAGGATAAAGAAAGACAAGAGTGAAAAGCTCTTGAATTGATGTGTTTTCAAAAGAGGAGAAGCTCCTCTATTTATAGCAAGAAATCCTTGGCCTAATAGTGGATATTATGTCATGGCAAATGTCATGATCCACAAATTTTATTATAGTGTATATTATGCCATGACAAATGTCATGAAAATTTAGCCCCCACTTGAGAAGAAGCCAAATTTATAACATATTACAACGAGTTTATGTGATATTGATATGACTGAGCTGGACAACAAAATGTATGGTATACACGCGCATAATGAGGGGGGTGGGAATTCATTTAAAAAACAATGAAATCAAAAAAGATAAATACAAATACTAAAAGCAAAAAGAAAAAGAAAAAGAAAAGAACCAAAAAGTGGTTAGAGGGAATCAAAAATGCCAATTGTATAAAATTAAAATGGTCCCACACAACATTTTTAGTTGTGTGAGACATGGAATAAAATTCTTAGAGCTGACCATTGGAACATTGAAAAAGAAAACTTTGTTGGCAGCTCGACACTTTGATCATTTGTGAGTCAACTGAGAGCATTCTTCAAATCCTAAAACTCCATTACCAAAGATCAAATGCAGATTCCAAACTTTCCACTAGAAATCATCATAGAAATACTCTCAAGATTACCGGTTAAATCACTCTTGAGGTTCAAGTGTGTTTCAAAATCATGGCTTTCTTTAATTTCAAGCTCTCAATTTGCTAAATCCCATTTAAAAATATCAGCAAAACATAACAACTTCTCACACAAAAAACTCCTTTTACTCTCCATGTATCTTCCTCATACTTTATATTCCTGTCCCCTTTATTCTGTATTGCATGAAAAATTCATATCTAGTGTTAATGAGCTCTATATACCTTGGAATCGATCGAATATAATAGCAGGTGTTGGTTCTTGTAATGGATTGTTTTTCATGTGCATTGGCATGTACACATTTAACTTGTTTTTGTGGAATCCATCTACTAGAAAAACCAAGAAACTGCCTTTTTCTGGTCATGAGTATTCGAGGTGTGATATTACATATGGATTTGGTTATGACGAGTTTACTGATGATTATAAAGTGGTTGAAATTTATGGAGTTTATGGTATTCAGTATGTGTATGGTGCCAATATCAAGATTTATAGTTTGAGGGCAAATTCTTGGAAAATGATGGACAAATATAGTGATGCACTTTTTTCCTCTGATTCTGGTGTATTTTTGAATGGTTCTCTTCATTGGGCAGTGGCACACAGTAATGGAAATTGGGTTATAGTTTCACTTAGTTTGAAAAATGAGAAATATGGAAATTTAGCATTGCCTAAATATGATCCTGGAAACTGTAATAGTTCCATCTCAAAGCCATTGGGAGATTCAACTGATTTTGAACCTGGGATTCTGAATTGGGCATTAGGGAAATTAAAGGGATGCCTTTCTTTGTTTTGTGACTATTACAAAGTTAAGTTGGATGTATGGGTAATGAAGGAGTATAATGTGAAAGAGTCTTGGATTAAACTGGTTTCCCTTCCTTATACAGTGGCGGGGATAGGGTCGCGTATTTCACCATTGTGTATATCAGACAGTGGCGAAGTGTTATTGCACGATGGATCGCGTGTTATGGTGTATAATGCAGGAGATAATGAATACAAAAGTGTGGAGATACATAACATGGATACTGGTGTTGGAGCAGCAACTGTTTATGCCGAGAGCCTTGTTTCTCCTTGTCTTGACAGTACTGAAAATATACTTTAGCAGAAAGGTAAACTACTGCTTTTCTAATCTTTTCGTGTACATTTGAATCATATTATTGGTGTTTTAACATGTTTCATTTCTATGTTATCATATCATGAATTGTCTTCGACGTCCAATTTATTGAATGGCAATAGGTATTAACTTTGTTGTGCATCTAAATTGGAGGTTGCAGATGAACTGAAGAAGCAACAATAGAACTGCAAACTCCTGTGACCAGTGGCGAAGCCAGGAGTATTCCCAAGGGTGTTCAAATTTGAAAGAAGTGAAAAACATTCTATGACAAAGGGTGTTCAATATATGTTATATACATCTAAAACTTAATATTTTTCTGATATGCACAATATAATTTTTCGACGAAGACCCTTAGGACAATGTAGCTCGCCCCTGGCTGTGAATCATGCAAGAAGCAAGCAAATAGCAGCTTTTAAATAACTTTGATGATGTCTGAAAATCGGATATTTCATGTTCCATATGTCATTTGACATGCATTTGCTATAGAATTCTTTTTTGTATTTAAAACTTGTAACTTTTGTATTTCTGCTGTTATTTCCATAAAGTCTGGCTATCTGCATAGGATTTAAGAACTTGTTAGTTGAAATATATAAAGAATTCATCTTATGGACATATCTGCTTAGCTTCTTTCACCTTGTAATCTTTGAACCTTTGTTTTCATTAGTTCAATTTTTTTTCTTTATATCTGCAATAAATTCTATATTACATTTCAATTGGCTGTTATTTCAACGTTTTGTCTTTGTATCCTCTAAACTATGGGAATATATATGCAGTATTTTCCTAGTTTCACAATCTTACATTGTGCCATTAGGACACCAAGGCTAAGTGTGATTCAGAAAAGGTAAAAGAAAAAGAGGGAACTGATTGATAACTCAGATAGGTAGAACTGTTCCTCGAGAAAATAACTTTCTTTGCCCTATCAGTATATATTAGCGATTTTTTTGGTTTAACCATCCGTTATACGAAGTCAACCAACTAATCTGGATTCACGCCGCCACTATATATTAATTAAATTTTGATCACTCATAGTGAAATATTTTGAAGGGGAGGCGTAACTGGTAAAGTTGATGCCACGTGACTAGGAGGTCACGGATTCGAGCCGTAGAAACAACCTCTTGCATAAATGCAGGGCAAGAATATGTACAATAGATCTTTGTGATTCGGCCCTTCCCCGAGCCCACGAATAGCGGGAGCTTAATGCACCACGATGTCCATAGTAAAATACTTCAAAGGGAGAAGAGTACAATAGCATTCAGAGAGGATGTTAAGGAACACCAAAAGATATCTGTTTATATTCACTGCCACAATAAGAAAGATATGAAACACAAACCAAAGCTGATATAAATAGTCATCACATAAAAACAATTCAGAAATTAAAACAAACTCTTGTCTTTTTCCCCTTCTAAGTAATACGCACAGAATTAGACTTTCAGTAAGTAAGATGAACAGTGATCCTCAACAATGTCTCAGCACCATCAGTAACATGTTGACCAGCTGGTATAAGTGAACGAACTTCAGCAAATCCACATGCATTCTTGAATTTACCAGTTCCTCCTGTAACTGAAAGCCTTGACATTGTACTTCCAATTCTAAAAACTCCAAAAAAGTTAAGACTATCACCATATTCTCCTCCTTCAAACATAGCTGTAAATGCCATCATTTGAGTACTTCCATCTGCTGAACTTGCAACATATACTCCTTGTGCTTTTCCAAGATTTTGGGTACCTGTAAAAAATTAAAACTCACTCAGTATTTATCTTCTAAAGCCTAAAGGAGCATTTAGAAGGGGACTCTTGGAGCAACGGGTAAAGTTGTCTCCGTGTCACCTATAATTACGGGTTTGAACTGTGAAATCAGCCGTTGATACTTGCATCAGGTAGGCTGCCTACATCACATTTCTTGGGATGCGGCCCCTCCCCGGACCGCGTAAACGCGGGATGCACCGGGCTGTCATGCCCTAAAGGAGCATTTGCACAAATGACCTTTCTTGACGCCACTATTTTAGTTGTGCTCGGTTAGCTCAGTGGGCTAAATTTGTCTACAAGAACGAAAAATTCATCCAACTACTTTTAAAGGCGAAAGTTAGGCCACTAGGCTAACGAGGACAAAATTTAAAGAGTGCCCTCAAACAAGGTCATGCAATGCAAATAATCCCAGCCTTACAGTCCTAAATTTGTACTAAAATCAGAAAAAAACATATGTTCTTAACATTTCAATCTCCTTTGAAAAAAATGACGTCAAAAGCTAATAAAATAAGAACTTAAGATCCTAATGTCATGAAAACATCCTAATTAAAGAATATGTAACTGTTAGTGCACTTTTCAATTTCTTCAAAATGAAATCAGTTTAGAAAAGAAAGGGAGGGTAAAATATTACGTGTCAACGGTACCTAAATCAGGGGATGAAGTCAAGAAGTCATCGATAACAGTGATCGTTCCGAAGCCAAGTCCTAAGCCATCAGGGCCTAATTGAGTATTCACAGCTTGTGCATTGTTGTTATTTCCACCAGCAAATAGTGTACCTGCTAATCCTGTCCCTAATGGAACACCATTGATATTGAATGTTGGCATAGCACCATTAGCATTTGGAATTGCTACACCATCTTTTGGTGGTTGAAAACCAAGTGGTGTAGCAAATGGAACTTGTCCACTATAAATATTGCCTAATAAACCAGTTATTGGCCTAGCTGTTGGATTATTTCCTCCCAGAATATCATGCATGTACAATTCCAAGATTGGTTCTTGTGGTGTTACAGTATCAATTGCAGCTACAAATGCTGCAAATTTGATGGCTAAAAATAGAATTGTGAGAAAAAGGGAGGATGGTGATTGCTTGAACATTTTGAGAATTTGTTTTTTTTTTTTTTTT